TATGTACTGTAAGGTATTGAAAATGCAATAACCTGTAAATAAAAAGCAGTAAATGAGTAAATGAGTGCAAACAGCTGCTGCAGCGGTGGCGTCACTGCACCTTGCGTTTGGCAGTGACAGCTTCTGCCAGCAGAGGTCGCTGGAGCTCTACTGTATCTGGAGAGGAGCTCTCGCTGATCGGTTTCTACCGAGCAGCTCGTAAAAGTCATCCAACCACAGAGACACAAAAACAACAACCAAAAAAAGCAGCTAACCAGCGGGGGCCGGCAGGACCCGCTTTATATAAGATCAGGTAGTTGCTGCTTGTTTAACGGAATGAATTCAACCACACCTGATGAACGACGCCCGAGGAGGCTGTGTGTGGACGGAGTGTGGACAGATAAAGGTGTGAACGAGCAGGAAACGGGTTGGGGGAGAAGATGAGGAAGAGGAGTAGGGGTGAGGAGGAAACAGAGAGAGAGAGGGGGACGGAGGAAAACAGATGATGTGAGGGGGGAGGAGAAGGAGGAGCAGAGAGGAGGCAGGCACTCAGTCTGCTTTGCTTCGCAGGAGGAATCGGCAGCAACAGAAGGACAATGGACAGCGTTCACCGCGGGTCCTAACGAGCACCGGGCAGCTTCATCAAGCTGGAATACAAGGTATGGCTGAAGGTTAGCACACGGGTCAGTTCGTGCCGTCGTTTTACCCGCGTTAAAAAAGCTGCCGTGTGTCTGCGGGAGAGGAGAGAGGCTGCAGGAAGGAAGCGACGCGGCGCAGCAGACGCTGAGCGGGGCCTGCGTACCGGCTGCCTCTGGGTCCTGGAACCGGCCGGTGAAACCGTCCGATACCGCCACAGCTCTGCGCCTTCATCGTATCAACCGGGTAATAACGGCCGCGCTGAAACACAGCAGGGAAAGACACGCGGGAACACCCTATTCCACTGCTCACGCTTATCCTTAGAGAACGCCACGCCAAAGTCCTTTACAAAAACGTGAAATTTTGCACTCGACTCACTGCCAGCAGGGCTACCCACCCTTTTATCAGACCATTTGAAACTTCTCCGGGTTCCTCGGGGTACTCTGTCGGATTCGGCGCCAGACTCATTAGTCAAACCTTTTTATTTCAAATTAAAACCAATGATAACGTGCGAGCATAGTGCTACAGCGTATTGGTATTGACGTGCAGTGAGCGGGACCACGGCACGCGACCCGCAAACAATAGTTGACATTAGTGTGAGATAAACGCTGCTGTGTGTGCTGCTCGGACGCCGATTTGTTGAAAAGTGTGCGCTTACTAACAGTACGTATTCAGTCTTATTTGGCGATTGACGTGTTTGCTAGAAAAGAAGCGGCACAAAAAAGGAGCCGTTTTCGGATAGGAGTTTGGTGCGTGGAGCATATGTCGCTATGCCAACAAAGCCTCTCTCGAGCTTGTGGCAGCAGCAGCAGCAGGAGGAGCACGCAGGCAGACTGTCTGCCAGAATGAACCTTTGCACTAGCCGAGGCCCGATGCAGCGATTGTCGTGTGAATAGATGGAGTCATTGTGTTTACCATAATGTGCCTTCTGTTGGACACTGTGTGCGTGACGCACGCAGGGCATAAGGACTTTAATGCTCGCGTCTGAACGGCCAGTGTATTATCGTGCCAGTTTCAAGCATTATGTAGCTGAGCTACTGCAGAGACTGTGACACAGACAGATGTGAGCGGTTACAGTGAACTGAGCACTCCTCGGTTTTACAGTATATCATGAGACAAGGTCACTTGTGCCATACTAACCACCCAAACACTTAGAAAAACACAGGGAAGGCTGTGCGTGTGATGTAGCCTGTATTTAGTGATGGGAGGAGGCGTTCAGGGACCTCCCATAAATAGATTACAAGTCAATAGATGCTTGCCTCCATATGCTTAGGGTGACTGGTGCAGGCAGTGGTTCTGGTGCATTGTTTTTATTTTTTGGATCGTATTGCCGTACTTGATACGGAGTGTGTGTGTCTGTGGGTGGAGGATGGGAGCCCTGTCTGTGAGTACAGGTGAAAGCAATATCCTGTTATCTAGTTAGAGATTAGAGAAGTCAGTAAGAGCTGAGGCAAATTAGTGACCCTGATGTTTCGAGAGTGAGACCAACTGGTTATAATAAACTGAAAAGGACGCTGCTGCGTGTGAAACCATGTGTGTTATTGAACAGGAAACCCGGAGCCCAGCTGGTAGTTAGACTCTACACTGAATGGCAGGAAGCAACCCCAAACCGCGAGGGATGAGAGGCAGGCAGGAGGCGGATTGAGTTGTTCTTCGAAAGAGGTGCTTCACCATACTTGTGCTGGATTTAGTTACGTTTCTTTTAACTGGTGGCTACACACCAACGAATGAAGAGGCGCAAAGGCCCGCCCACGTCACGGTGGAGACTGGAGTTGGAGTCTGTTTGCTGGTGTTGTGCGTTTTGGGGGTTTATGTGTGTTTGTGATGCTGTTTCTCAATCAGAGCGGGAGCTTCATTTGAACAATATCAGGAAACGAGCCAAGAACTATAAAAGGTGTGTGTGTGTGTGTGTGTGTGTGTGTGTGTGTGTGTGTGTGTGTGTGTGTGTGTGTCAGAAAGTTATTGGCTTTACATTCAATTTGCTCACTTCACATGATCTGTATGTGAGAATTGAGTATTTAGCAAGACAGTGTCACAAGACCGTTGTTGCAGTGTGTGTGTCTGCCCCCCCACCCCACCCCCCATGGCCGGCAGTGCCATCTGGAGTAAGTGTGAGGCCAGACTGTACTATGAACACTGCTTCTTATTACCCAGACTGCCTTTCAGCTTTGTTTACAAGTAGAATTCATCATTGTTTTGTCTGATAAATTTTTTTTAATTACTGGTTTTCTCCATAAAAGGACTTCCTGCAGGCAAAGATGGCAAAAGTTCAGACATGTGACCCTTACGCTAGCATCCAAAGATATTCAGATTGCCCTCGTGTCTGAGTAAGAAATCATTAGATCCTCATAGGAGGTGTCGAAAAGGTACATATTGACATCACTGGATAACACTTGAGCCAGTCCACAATACTGTTTGTTTGCCAGGTAACTACACACTACTTACATTTACTTACAATGTAAATTTATCTTCTACCTGAAGTGATGCAATACTTAAAACTGATCATGCATCACTTATAACTAGTTGCACATTACTTAAAATTACTTACAGTTTAATTATTTGTTCTTTCCAGTAAAAACATGACCTTATTCTAGTGTGTCTACCTTAAAATGTTTGTAGGTAATTATAATGATTTCAAAATAAATGCATTGAAATTCCACGTAGCTACAGCCGTGGGCGGTAATATAAAGTGTTGCCTTTGTTTAGTTTAATTAGTTTCACATCTCTAAAAATGGTTTCATCTCCATCGACATCCTGTTTGTTAGCACCGTCACGGAAAGCTAAACGGTTACATGATCCAACCTGCTCGGGGTTCCTTTAGCAACGATGCATGTTGCTGCAAAGCATTTGTAAGTAGCTGCAAGTGGGAATGAGAGGAGTTTTATGTGCAACCGCAAACGCTGGAACGTCAAACATGCACCATGAATCTCAGTCAGTATCTCAGGCTTCTGCAAACATTCTGTTTCAACCATTTTTCCTACCTTTGGGCCTCTGTGATGTCAGCTACTCCAGCTATTCCTAATACGTCATCTTAGGCTCACAGCTTTGGTTGTGAGCACAGAGGTCAAGCCAATCCAGACCTTCTGTTTATGAGGCGCAGCCAATCAGAATGAAGCTGTCTTAGAACAACTTGCTAAAAAGCTATTCCAGAAGTTCCAGCAATAAAAACATGGAGATGGAAATGTTTAAACCTTAAGCACAAGCCACTGAGGAACATTCATTTTCATTAAGTTCTAGTTTATCATGCAACAAAGGAAAACATCTGCTAGTTCTTGTTACTGAGCTGTATAGATTTCTTAGTCTGTTGAGTAGAGAGTTGTTCATCTTAAGAGTTTAAAATGTAATTGCTGCATTGACTTTTGATTAACAGCCAAACACAAACTCGACTACGTTGCACAGAAGATACTGGAAGATGTCGCGATTTAGTTCAGGCAGTTTGTGGTGACCTTGTAAATTCAAGTTGTGGAAGACAAATGAAACACAGCCTTAGTTGCCCATGAAATCGCGGGCTCCTGTATTGGTGGCTATCCTCATTTGGAGTCCGTTTGGTACAATCCTTAGTGGAAATTCTGATTCAGGTTTTATACTTGAGACTCAAAGAGGCAAAGTACAAGTAAATGCTGCTCGCAGTAAAATGAACTGTTGCGCTTCTTTGCATTGAGCAATGATAAGTTAAAGTAGAGGTAACATTGTGACAGCAACATAAATGACAGTATGAATCTTCACACATCAGCTGTGAATTTTCACACAAATCCCACAGTCTGCTGGAAAAATTAGACGTGTCTCTGGCTGTGTCCACGTTCCATTAGATAATCCCTGAAATGTATTTATTTATTTTTCATCAGGGTTAGATTATTGAAGTACTAAAGAAGGGGAATCACCTGTCTTATCACCTTGATGCTACTTTGGCTAGCTAAGAAATGTATTTGCACAAAACCCCATAGCGCTATTTATGAAGATGTAACAGAGAAGATTGCTACAAATTGGTAACCATAGACTGCATGTAAAAGATGGATGCCGTGGTTGGTTCTGATTTTACATTTTAAGGCTTTAATGTTAGTGTTTTGGCTTCTGCCATGTTCATTTCTTTCAGACAGAAGTTAGCATATTTAGTTGAGAGGCTTAGATGCTAATTAGTGCAAAACAACAGTCTACTGAAATACAAAAGATGCTGCACATATTCCTTGGGCAGGCTGTACCACACAGCAAGCCATAATACTTGTCTGATAAGTCCAAAACAAACAAAAACACTCCAGAATGGATCGATACTTCACAAGTGGTAGAGACGTTCAGATCAGTGATGCTTAAAAAAACATGCATTATACATTTGTTATGAAGAGGGAGACTAGGGATCCAAACCTCTTGTGCCAGGTTCACTTTTTAATATTGAAAAGTTGGACGTTTGAGCATTGGAATCTGTGGAGATTGAGTCGCGTTTTTTGTTTTGTTTTTTTAAGTCAATTTCAAGTGGTCATTAGTAGAACTGCAGGTTGTTTTGTTGTTGTTTTTTGGGAACTTGAGCTTTGCCAGGGTTGTGCAGTGTTGCCAATGGTAGCATGTGAGGGGTTGCGTAATGTAGGAGCTGGAGGTGCTAGCAGGAATTGTTTGTTTTGGATTGTACAAGGCTAGCTGTCTACCTGAGTTAAGCTAAGCTAATCTAACTTTCCTAATTTAGTTTGATCTGTTAAATTTGGTGCACTCAAAACTACTGCCGTGACCTTAAATCATAAAAGGTCACGCAACTATCAAAGAAAAAAAATCAAATCAAAGTTGCCGTTATTTTTTTGTAGTTTAGCGCGTCATTGGCAGATTATCAAGAAACCTCGTTACTCTTTCTATAATTCATTGTGTTCTAATTGCTGTCTCTGTTATACTACATAGTTTTTATAGAGTCAATCAAGCCTGATGAAAACATCAGGAATCCCTGTTGCAAAGATCTGACGGCACAAGCCACAAATGCTGTCAACCAGTAAATGAGATGCTATCACGAGAAAACACTGTGATATCTTGGGACCAAAGGGCTGTTCTGTGTTCGTGCTATGTATTTATCTGGCACGAAGCAAGTTTGGCATTAGGAGCAGCAATATAAACACGCGGGGGGGGGAGTTGTCACACTGCGTCATTGTTTTAATTGGATTATATTGACTGCTGCGGCAGCGCCGTGTGGGTGTACACAGAGGGGCGATTGTGATGTCGTCTAATGCCAAGTTCGCTCATCTTCAGCTTAGTTATACTCTGTTAACACTCTCCCAGCTGGCTCCTACAGGTGGCACAAATACATGTGTTCGTTAAAGAGTCTTTGATTATTGATCACAATCATATGCAACCTAATTGTATGTATCAAATACCTTGTCTGAGCGACAGCATACAGCCAAGAGGTCCTTTGTAAACTAGCATAGTTACCCTTGAGAAGCTGGCACCGCTGGCTGTTTGGGATTTTGGGCTAAAGTATTACTTCAGTGCAACAAAATGAAGGCCTGCTGGGTGGCTTCAGCTGTTCACTGTGAACATCTGTGGTTCTTATCTGCATGTTTGCAGTTGCACAGCAATTTGCTGGTTAAAGCTTTGAAAAATCCAACATGTAAATTTCATTTGCCTCATATCCTTCAGAATGTTTAAACCGATGCACAGACGTGTCCAGAGTACACGGCTCATTGATCTCTTTCTGTTTTATTCAGGAGGTGAATGTCAGACAGCTCCAGGATGCTGCCCCCCTCATTCATGCCAACCTGCTATTCACCACGGGACATTTGACTCACCAAACATGATGAAGACTGAGCCTCCGTCGGCCACGGGAGGCAACGGGGCCTCCGGTGGGAGCAACGGGAGCTCTAATCTGCGAAGTCCGTCTCCCCACCGCAATGCCTACGAGGCAGGTCTTGCGGCGCTGAAGAAGGCCACAGACCACCTCAACAATGCCGCCAATGGAGGCGCTGACCCTGCCTCAAAACCCGCTCCTCTGCCCCGGCCTACTGGGAGGGGCCGGAAATATGGCTCAAATGTTCACCGTATCAAGAACATGTTCATGCAGATGCAGTCTCCCGGCGATGAAGAGGATGGAGCCAAAATGATTGGTAACTAGCCTTTTCACAGAACCCTTTAGAATCAAGGAATGTAGCAACTTGTAGGGTCGGTTACCGAATTCAGTTAGGGCAGCGGTCCCCAATCCCCGGGCCGCGGACCGGTATCGGTCTGTGAGTCGTTTGGTAATTTCACACCCGGGCCTGTGAAATTTATGGTTTTCAGGGTTTTTATCGGGTTATTTTTATCGTTTTTAATAGTTAACTCGGTTTCTCTGGGTCTGTCTGTTATGAATAAATCTTGTTGTATTTATCTGAGACACCTTAAAGGCCAGTCAGAGAAAATATTGTCGGACATAAACCGGTCCGTAGCGCAAAACAAAAGTTTACGGACTGCTGTTTTAGGGTACCGACAAAATTACATTGGTACTAATGAGAACTGATTCATAGTACATAAGGTTCGGCTGTTCGTGTTCCCCTCGATGTCACACGTAGCGTCACCAGTGATCGTGTTGGGTTTTACCATCATTTCAGTGCTGAAAATTACAAGTTATACAGAGAGCGATGCGGCAATAGTTTGGGGGGAAAAAATTCTGCAATGTGTTGATGTATTTGCTTTCTGTCTCGACTGCTTCTACTACTATACCAGCGCTGATGTGGAGGTTTTGTGTCGATCAGAAGACTACTGCAGCAAGTGCGGCTCTCAGACACCAAATTTAGAATATATTGTGCCAAAAAGTAATATCGGTTGGTACCAGTATTCAAATGTGCAAGATAAACCCAATACTTGCAATGACAATGATTCCTTTTCTGACTTCTGACAATAACAGGCCAAGTAACAACTGGTGAAATGAAGTGGCCGAGTATCAAGTTAAGCTAATGTGAAAAATAAGGCGAGATTGAATGACTACCAATGGAAAGTTGGTAGACAGTAATGTGAGTGATATGTTGGAAATATACAAGAGGGTTACTTACACAACTAGAACCACAAATATCCTCTAATTCTCAGGTGTCGGCCATCGAAAGACAGAAAAATTTTAAATTCTCCAGTGTTCACAAAGAGAAGTGGGTTTACCATAGTAAAGGTTTGATCTAGAAATCTTTAAAAACACAAATTATCTGATAAGTCAGCTTCGAATGTTAGCATGGCTTTTTGTGTGTGTGTGTTGAGTGCTGTGCTCAACAACTCTTTTTACCTCTCACCAGTCAAACAGTCAGAGAGGGTGGGGCTTTCAGTATCTGCATTGTGATCAAAAGATGGTTTTTTTTGTAACCTGGAAACAACAAAAGCTTGAGAAGTGCTCTGAAAATAAAGTCACGGCGACCATTAGTCCTCACACTCAAAGCATTTTGCTGTGACGATTCAGTTCTCCTCTGCCTCCTGTCAGAGTGGAACTGAGCATCCAAATACATTAATAAAAAGATTTTCATATCCTCAAAAGATTTTATCTTAAACGTAAAAACACTGTAGCTTCTGCATTTTTCCACCTGGTATTTGCAACCTTAGTGTTTGCCTTGTTGCTGTGCTACAGACAGAAGAAGCCCTTTTTTACATGGATTAGCTAGTAAGGTTGCTAGCTAGGAACTAGCTAACTAGCCTTTAGCCGTTAGCCTGTCTTTTGTGACCAGTATCCTTATGTTGCGTATGTGTGTATTCTTTTTACAAGATTATGGTTTTGAAGTGAGTTCAGATTTTGTTTTTAACATATATTATTAAGCTCCTGCTAAAGCGGCTAAATTTAACCACCAACACTTAAGGCCATGTTTATTGATAGTAGCAGGCATAGAAACTGGGTTATGAACAAAGACAAATGTGTTGATGATATCCATGCTGTGATACTTCGTGTAGCCAAAATTCATTAATGATAAAACCACCTGCTCTGGTGAACTCCAGTGGTGTTAGCCTGTACTTCCCTTAAAGGACAATTTCGTTTTTTTACAACTTGTTTATTTTCTGTCATTAGTAGGTAAGGAACAGGCAGTGAAACTGTCCCTGCCGAGAGTATCCAGCCTCAATGAGCACGTCGACCACAGCGCCCTGCTGAAACTGGGGGGCACGGTCTCTGAAAGGGTAAACCGTTTTGACTCTAAAGTTGGTAGGGAGGGCAGTGGCTCATCTGTGGGCTTGTCCAAGCTCCAGGAGACCAGGAGGATCTTTGAGCAGCGGACTCTGCAGGTCAGATGTTACACTTGCGTTGTTATTCTTTATCATTTAGTTGACATAGCTCGCTTGTAATCTTTAACTGACTGGTTATTTGTGCGTCCTTCAGGAGAAGCAAGCTGCCACTAACCGCATCTTGCTGAAGAAAGAGCGGGCGTCGGGCTTCCAGGGCAGCCGTCTAGATGTTGTGGCTCGCTTTAATGGGTCCACCGAAGCTCTGGACCGGCTAGATGATCCCCCTGTTCCCACCCCTCCTTCTATTTCGTCTACTGCAGCTTTAGCCGGGCCAGGCGAGGCCGTCAGTCCCACTGTGAGCCAGCTCAGCGCCGCATTCGAAAAGGGTGACCTGCAAAACAATCTCTACCTCCCCCAGCGTCGGTCAGCCCCTGCTTTGGCACCAAAACCCAAACCTCCACCCAGGGTGGAAGCAGCAGACAGGAAGGTGAAAAGGATTTTCTCAAAAACTTAAAACTTTGCAATTAAGCTGTAGGGAAGTTCTTGAACTAGAAAATCTTTTGATTGCACTACTACATGATCTCCCTGTGCTTTTCTTCCAGACAAAGGTGATACCTGCAGATAAGGACGAGAAAGATGAGGTAAAAGCAGGAGTTATAAGTAACCAGGCAGCAGAGCTACATGAAGAAACGGGTTCTCTAGAAAGGAACATGGAGGGAGCCGCGACCAATGAAGAGAAGGATGCATTTGGACTGTCGGGGGACCAGCTCTCCAACTCTTCCTATTCCTCCTCTTCCTCAGTGACTGTCACTTCCATCTCCTCTTCATCGGAGGCCAAACCAGAGCTGGCAGCAACTGAGGCCAAGGGTTCGAGTACAGTGGAAGCCTCTGGGCTGCAGCCACAGTCTGGCGATCAGGACAGCGCCACTGCGGGATCTGAGGCCGCGGGTAGGCTGGTGCAAGCTGAGGTTCATGCCTCGCTGGAAAATGGAGAGAAAGAGCCTCCATCTTCCTCTCCTTCATCGGAGGAGAAAGAAGAGGACTCTGAGGAGAGGGCCAAAGAAGATGAGAATGACGAGGATGGTTCAAGGAAGGAGGATTATTCTGAGGGAGATCTGATAGATATCAGCGCATACAGCGGGCTTGGGGAGGAGGACTCTGGGGGAAGCCAGCTGGACGATGAGGACGACGAAGACGAGGAGGAGGCATATCAGCCAGAGTCCAGCTGCTCAGAAATCCCTGGCCTTCCTGAGGAAGAGGAGCCTCCGCCACCCAGTAGAAAGATTCGCTTCAGCACTCAGCCAATCAGAGTGAGTTTTTTCTTCTTCTTTTTTTTTGTGCTCACATAGCGCACATTAGTCTTAATTTTACTGTATCCACCACTCCGATTTCATAAGAGGAAGTCAATGTTGAGCCACTTCCTCTGTGGTTTCATCTTCCAGACACGGCAGTTACTGCTTTAGTGATATTTAAAGCAAACGCCACCGACTTTCCAGTAGTGCACAGACTCTTAAGTGTTCATTACACTTAATATGAAACAATCAGCTTCATTAGATTCTCTGGACTTATGTGTGCATTTTGTGCTGATGTCAGCACAGAAAGAGAGGTTAAGGAGCGAGCTGATCGTTAGGATTCATCCTCCTGAATTAAGGTGCTGGTCGAGGGAAAATGTTGAAGGTAGCACCAAACAGAAAGCGCTGATCTTTTAATAAATATGAGGACTTGACAATTTATTTAATTGCTCATAAACTTGTACCTGTTACATATTTTTCTATTAGATTGAATAATAGAATAATAAGTCCCTTTTGCCTCAGTGTTTTAGCATCTTGAAGTTATATATGTTGGTATTTCAGAACCACAAGTTTAGTTTCACAACAACCCGAGTAGCTGCTGTTTTCAGCAAGGAAGCGAGCGCTAGCTGCTAAGCACTAAAAAGACAGGAAGACGGGGTCAGTAGCATTAAGTTAAAAAAGCCTTCTGCTCAGTATCTTGGGCTCCAGACTCTTGGTTTACAGTAAGTTAGATCATAACTAACTTAGTCGAGCGATGGCACTCGCTTCATGCATGCTCTGCAATTTACGAAACCACGGGAACTCAAAGAAAAATGAACACTGCCCTAAAACAATTGAAAAACACTCAGTGACTTCCTTCATCACACACGAAGGGTGCACAGGGGATTTTCACTCTTTGATTTCGCCATGCTACTTCCTGCCAGTGCTCAAAGCGTGTTTGTTAATGTAGCTCTTGATTCAAAAGAAGCTCTCCTGTCTGATGGAGAGCTGTCCTGCAGCCTCGCAACAGTCAGCTGGTTGAGCTTGTTGCGTCGTGCAACTTGTCTCGACCTGCATTAATAATAATACGACGCGTCCCCTAATATGTTTAGACAGCCCTCTGAATGACATACCACAGAGTTTGATAATGTAGCACGTAACACTGATAAGAACAGGAAGGAAGAGCGCTGCATGCCGATCTAGAATTGATGTAACTGTATAACGGCAAGTGATGGCGAGCTTTGCCTGCTCGGTCATGTTTGCTAATACGGGGTGGTAGCAGGAAGAACGGGTTTAATTTCAGGCCAAGCGTCAGGGCAAAAAAAGGAATTCCTTTCATTTTCATGGACCTGGAAATGTTTAGCTTCTGACCTCTTTGGCCACAGAGCGGCTAAAAGTGGAGCTGTGGCCTGAGGCTGTGTTGTGTTGTTTACTACAAAGGTAACAGCTGCACCCGGGTAGATTTACAACTTTGGGTCTCAGATTCAGATCGGGTTTTTTTTAAATATGTGTTTGTGTGTTGCCGTTCTTTCCTCTTGATTCAAAGACATATTTAAGTAACTGTGATAGATTTACAGAGAAGATGTATAATTCTTGGCGCTGAAGTGCAAGAGTGGGCTGCAAAAACATTTCAGCCACAGTGATTCAGTTGGTTGCTAGCTGCAGCTTTGTGGCCAGCGTTTTCAAGGTACACTTCCTCCATGCCCGCCCCATCTTTGCATCTCTGCATCATCAGACTGGGCTCTCACTTTGAATAAAACACAGCGGCTTCTAAGATTCAACATTTGGGTTGTTTTTTCTTTTCTTTTTAATGCACTTCATTTGAGTTCTGCACTAAACACTATCTGGCTCGTGCGAGTTAGATGATGTTTGTGTGCGTGGCTTTTCAGCTGTGGACAAAAACGGCGAAGATACAAGGATGCACCTTTATCCAGCCTGATACCTGATGATGATGATGATGATGATGCATGCAGGTGAAGTGCTGATTGGCCGACACAGGAAGAGTAATGGAAGCAGAGTTTGCAACAAAGAAAGACAAAATAATAAATCATTAAAGACGGAATAAAAGCGAGCCCAGACGATTAGCACAGATGACATCGTTCGTCGTTTTTGACTCTTTGTCCTCCACATCAGGAGGATTTTTCATTTACTCTGTTCTTCGTTTTATATTTGAGCAGCTGTCTTGAATCATTATTCAAAGTTAAGGTTATTATTGAAAATAACTTTGACTAAATTTACTTAAACTCTACTTTAATGTATGCAATCAACAGTTACATCTGAAGACAGCATTCAAACCTCTTTGTCTTTACTCCAACAAATTGTTCTTTTTCTCATGAAGGTGTCCTTCTAACTTCATTCCTCTGATAACATTTTCTGAGCATTTGAACCATGCCTAATGCACATTAATGGTTGTTCTACATATTTTGACAGTGGCCCCCAGCTGTGTGTGCACTAAGGTTGAAACACGTAGACGTGAGTCTACAAACCTGTCCGTAACACCTACACACTTCCAACACAGCAGCAGCTTAAAGCACAGCTTCTGTTGTTTTTTGGAGGCCAGCAACACAGTTTTAATCAAGTTTGAGGGTCAAAACAGGGAGAAAAATATTGGTTTACCAGTTTATCCTCTGCAGTGTGGACATGAGCTTAAAACGAGCTAGAAAAACATCCACAGAATTAGACCTAAGCTAGCTAAAGGCTGACTGTGCTGACATGGACTCAGTTGGGAAGGTTCCAGTTTCCTCCTGTTATTTCCTTTCAGTCACACTTATGAAGCTGACTTATAAAGTCACAGAATAAAACATGACATGTGGTCCACTTTCGTGCTCCTGTTCACTTTGTCGTGCTCCAGTACAACCCTGGCACTAGCTGACGGTAGATTTGGCGATCGCTCTAAACTGGTCAAAGTCAAGTAAGTTCCGCCACTTGGTCGTCACCCTGAAACACCTCGGGGCATTTATTCTAACTAAAGTGGTCACTGGGAAATAAAAACGCCATGAAAAGTGCTAAAAAATAGCTTAAAGAGTTTGACAACTTTTCCCCAAAACAAGGCTTTATCAAGCTAACCTCTCCTGTACCTTTAACGACTAGTTTTGGCAGCTTGTACATATCAACAAAGAACAGTTTCAGGGTTTTTCCAGGGGCAGCTGCATGGCAGAGACCATCCGCTCGAACTTCTGATAAACACCCTGTCGTACAAGCAGGTCCGAAACATGACAAAGCCACTCAGCACAGAGGAGAGATTCAGGGTTACTCCTAATGAGGATAAAGCGTTGAAAAGCCTCTTTCCACTGGAAGTTACGCTTCTAAAACCATCTTTTTTTGTTGCACGATTCTTCCAAAGTTCTGAATTCAGGATTCTTTGAGTCCCTTTATCTACAACTTGCTGTTCACGGGGAACTTATAGACGATTATACTTAGTAAAGAATCTGACAACTTCATCCACCTTTGTAAAATGTAAACATTTTAGTATACATGACATCATCTCAGACTCTTGTGACCTGTTAGAGTTTCAGGAGAAACTGAGTAAGCATTCATGTATGAACTGGTGCCGTTTCTTACAATGCAAAGAAGAAAACAGTGATGCTTGTCCAGTCGCTTTGACATTACTGTGTTACAAGAAATGTCAGACATGAAGAATTATTAATAAATCAAATCTGACACAGCAGAGATCATCGTTTTGGTTCAGAGGAAGCTTCAACAGTTAAAGCTAGACTCAGCAGTTATCTGTACACACACACACACACACACACACACACACACACACACACACACACACACACACACACACACACACTTCCTACTCATATGCTCGTTGCTATAGAAGATCTATAAATGACGCCGCACTGAAGCGGAGGTTTATGAGGGGGAATGAAATGAAATCACAGCCAAGCAGCAGTGCAGATTACTCGCAGTCTAAAGGAGAAAGAACAAAACAACTTGATTTCAGAGTACTGAAGCTACCGGTCAATAGCTTCAGCTGGACCAGGGAACAATAGTCTTTCAACAGGCCTCGCCTCAGGGGCATCTTCTGTCAGGAAAAGTTGTCCACTGCTGACACGGTGCCAAGCTAGCTAAACTTGGAAACATAAACATCCCGTCTGACAGAAAGTTGGCTTGCTTCAAAAGAGTGTTGGACCTCAACCAGATGCAGGAAGACCATTGGTTGCTGGGTGAAGCGCCTGATAAGCCTTTAGAGGCAGGTTATATGCTTTTGGAGGGGCCTCGGTTCGCGGCACAATACAAGCAAAAGAACATTACGTGATATATCGGCTATTTCGGGGTAGATATGAATGAGTGTGGAAAAGCTTTAATTTCAGGTAACACAAATGAGTCTGACATATTTGTTGGAACAAACACATTTGGTGTACATGAAGCGCCATTAGAGGAGCGGACGTTGTTTGATTTGAACCCATCGCTCGTCTGAGAGGTGTCCCGCTGCAGGGAACAGAGACTGTCCGAGCATGTCGAGTGCCGTCAGCAGCCGGTTTCTGGAACGGAGTAATTGCTGTTCTTGCATCATGAAGTTGGCGTTAGCCAGCACAGCTCAGAGCTCCTCAAGTGTTGAGCAAGTCTGCAGAACATCGCTTCATTAAAATGTCCTCTGCAGCTGAAATGCCATGTGATTACAGCACGGGTTAATCAGCCTGTGTGAGAGGTCTTGTGATTTTTGGACTTGCACGCGGACGCTGTGTCATCATAAAGGTTAATGCGTGATGAAGACACGTCGGAGTGGCCGCTGTAGGTTGCTATGCGATTGGTCTAAACTTTCTCTCACACACACAGTGCAGATGCTGACTTGTGTACAAGGCCACCTCTGTAGGACTGTTAAAAGCAGCAGTTGGAATGTGGATGGGTGTGTTTGTTTTCCTCGGGGAGGAAAAAAAAGCGCGCACAAGCAGGGGAAGCCGGCTGATAAGAATCACAGAATAGAGCTTTGTTTGGATTTAAAAACTACCTGGTGTGTACAGTTATGTGAACTGACGGGGAAAAATCTCTTTACAAAGGTAATGATGCTCCCAGTTGTGACTGAAATCAGT